TAAGGGCTTTTCTCAATGAAATTTGTAATATGGGGTGTCATATGGTCTGAAGCTCCACTATCTATGATCCAAGAGAAAGATTTTATTGGCTTCTTACCAGCAAGGTTGGCTGTATGGGAGAGAGTTAAGTTACCATTGAGAAGTGAGAGAAGTTGCTCATACTGCTCCTTCGTCAATCCTGCAATTGGTGATTGGTCTGATGAACCTTCATTTTGTGATTCTTGGGAAGCATTTCCTGCAAAGACTAGATTTCTGTCTCGAGCCTGATTTCTCTGTTGCTCATTCTTCCCTTTGGATTTTATGCTTCCAAGCTTCCAACTGGTTGGGTAGCCTATTATCTCAAAACATTTATCCTTTGTATGACCAACCTTTTTGCAATGATCACACCGTGGCTTCCCTGATGCATTGGTGCGCATGTTGGAATGACTCTTAGCTGCTAAGGCTGTAGCCTCAATCACTGGAGATCTTGCGGAGGCCACTGCCTGCTGTCTTTCCTCCTTGGTTGCCATGGCATAAACTTTGTTCAAGGATGGCAATGGCTCCATGTTTAGAATCTGAGATCTCATGGTGGAAAAATTATCATTCAGTCCCATTAAAAATTGGTGAACCTTCTCTACTTCTTTGGATTTAGTGAAATCTTTGGCTGCACCACAGGTACATCCACACGAACATGTGGGGATTGGATCATAGGCTTGCAATTCATCCCAGATCGGCTTCATTTTGGTATAGTATGCAGCCACTGACCTTGTTTGTTGAGTGAGATTTGCTAATTCCAGCTTTAATTCATGTACTCGTGTTGCATTCCCTTGAGAGAACCGCTCCTTGAGATCGTCCCATATCTCCTTGGCACTATCAGCATACGCAGCACTATCATATAGTTCCTTGGTGAGGGTGTTCAGAATCCAAGAGACCACCATCGAATTGCATTTGGTCCAAGCAAGCATCTCAGGTGATTTTGCATCTGGTTTCTTTAGAGTTCCATCCACAAAGCCCATCTTGTTTTTGGCGTAAAGGGCATTTTGCATTGCCTTCCTCCAAGTGTGGTAGTTCTCTCCATTCAATGGAGTGGTGACAAGGATTCTTCCAGGATCATCGCTGGGATGAAGATAGTATGGAGAATCTACATTAATTCCTGTCTTTGCTTCTGCTGTCATAGCTCCCCCTGTTGGTTTGGCTTCGGTATTAGGAGTCTCAGCCATTTCGTTGATGATAGATGCAGCAAAGGCTTGCTGTCACGCTGTTGATGAATGCAGCAAAGACTTGCTGTCAAATAGTTTGGTTGCAGCAAACTCTTGCTGTCAAATTAGCCTTAGGTGTTTAGAAACCTTGCTCTGATACCATGAAAAATTTGATAATGGAAGACACAAGAATGATTGAGAATTTCTGTGTATTTTTCATTAATACTAAGAAAGCAGTTATATACAAGTTTGTATGGCTTAATCTAAGGTGTACAGAAATGGAATGTAGAATGATTCTAGCCTATAATACATTAATGTGAAAGATATGACAGCTTTATTTTCAAATTGTTCCCTGATCTTATCTGCAGCATTTCCGCCTTGATCAACTCTTCACCACTTATGCCGCCTTGATCAACTCTTCACCACTTATGCCTCAATCATCTCTATAGAAGATGATCTTACATGTTTAAAGTCAACTACAAAAATCTGTGAGTTGTCGGTAGCGGTACTTGGTGGAATAGTTTTTTGGAGCCATTACCAGACCATGGCCCTTCCTTGCCCCACGATGCACTGTCTCGACAATGTTGATGAACTCCTGCTTGTCCTTGAGAGCCCTGTTGATCTTCTTGTTATTTCCAGTGCCAAGGTCAACCATAATGTGCTTGTTTCTGAAGAAGAACATGACTGTGGATGGGTCATATAGTTCATATATTGTGTAAACTAAATTTAATTGAATAACTAATAAATTAAAGTTAATTTTTATTTTTTCAATACGAAAATATATATTTAATACACATTTAACCTGTATTTTTATTATATAATTTGGACAAACTTTTTATATTATATAAGATATAAATTATTTCATAAAATCTTCTTTAAGTCTCATTTATACTCTTTAGATTAATTTTAATGATGATTAATCACTAAAATAATAAGAATCATGAATATAAAAATTATAAAATTCATTAAACGACATCATAGTTTTAGATGGTTAAATTAATAATAATTAAAAAAACTAAATATTTTATTATAAATAAAAAAGTATTCAACATTATAAAAAAATTTAAAATAAATTAAGCAAATTTAATAATATAGAATGTTTAATCTTGATATTCTTTAGATGTTAATTTCCAATATTGCCACCTTTGTCTTACTCTCCAAAAAGCTCCTAAAATCTCATTTTGGACGAGCATATAATATAGGTGTCGACACCTCCGCTTTGATTAGGGGCCCTGAAGTCCTAAACTCATGGTATCGACACTACGATGGCAGTGTAGACACCCAACCCGTGTCGGGTTTTTTTATTTTTAGCAATTTCTTTAATGGTAAAATAATAAATCTGTCCTCAATCTTATTATTAATGAGCACTTGAGTCCTAAAACGTATAATCTATTCATTTAGGGTCTTAATTACAACCTTTATCCCTTCAATACAGTTCATCAACTTCCAAAAAAGTTTCACTTAAGTTCCAAAACTTCTATTGTTATGCATGTAAATTCTTTTTCTACACAAAAAATAAAAATTATGTAAAATTCATAAAAAACTCTACATTCAACTCATCCAAATATAAATAAAATCAAGGCTGAAATAAAAAAAAGTTAAAACATATAAAATTCACTTCTTCATAATTTCTAATTAAATATTTGATACAGGTTTGTGCTTGTTGGTGACTTTAATATTTAAGCTTTAAACAAAAACAAGAGGCTATTGGATCATGTCCTGTTGATTGCATTTCGTAAGGATCTTAATATTTGCCTTTTGATTTTGATTTTAATTGATTCATAGTGGCTCAAAAAAGTAGTACATTATTTTTACTTTTTGGAAAGCAATTACTTATAGCTAAATACTAGTGGTGGTGGACTTAATCATAGGATTGTAGAGAGATCAGAGCTTGCAGCCCTTGAGTTCCTAATGTCCAAGCAACCACGTGGCAACGTAAGAGTGGGTGCCGGAATACTGTAGGGGCACGTTTCTCGAATATATTTGATGATTTCAAGAAGTTTCAACAGAGATTTGTTGATGCCATGGACAAAGCTGCTATGAAAAATTTCAAGGTATGAGAATGGGACCGTGTTGTATTGGGAGATTTCTAGCATCATTACTATGGACAATTGAGGTTTCCTTTTTAGGATTTTCAATTCTAATTGATTTTGTTAGTTAGAAAATGAAAACAAGAATGGCAATTTATTATGTCTTTTGAGGTGATTCTCCAAAGAGATTATTAGCATTTTGTCTCCGTTTTTTCTATATATTTATCAAAGGCTCATGCTGTCAAACACCAGAAGTAACTTGGGTTTTTTCCAGGAGGAAAATGGTTATAGGGAAGAAAGGATGTCTGCAATCCAAGCAATCAAATCAATTTCAAAATGGTTATATTGGAAACCACCCAATGCGGGAGGTTCCATGTCAGAATGTCATCAAAACTTGACACACATTCCGCAAAAGTCGAAGGAACAAGACATTAACAAGCTCCAAGATGCTGTTGCTGCTCGAAAACAGGCAAGAAATAGCTTGAGAACAATCAGCAGCTGGAATCAAACAGTTGGTATCACGACGGGTACTAGATTCCCTCAAGACAAGCCCTTCCTGCCTCAATTGATGGTTTCACTGATACTTCTAAAGTTGCTTCAAAGCCTCTGCATACCATAAAATTGAAGGAAAAAGATAACCAAGTTCACAATAAACATGGAAAAGAAAGGAGAAACAGCTTTGAGTGGGGACTTCCAGTGATGACGTTAACAATTGCTGCATTTAGTTATAGTACGATTACAAGTTGCAGGCACAATGGTTAGTGAAGGAGAAGAACATATAGGTGGTTCTTTGGCGTTAACAATAGTTAATAGCTCTTGGATGCAGGTTATACTAGCAGGGATTACATGGTATTGCATTGGAATTGCAATAGTAGAATTAGTAGAAACTCTTCGGAATAGGTGAGAGAAGTATACAAAGAAAGGACACTGTTAATGAAAACAACTTCATTTGCCATTGTAAATACTTGCAACAGCAATTGTATTGAACATTTATATCAACAATGATGAATGTTCATTTGCCTGAATCTAAAGACTTGAACCAAAATAAGATGGATAACACTTGATGTCCACAGTATATATTAGCATGCTCATGCAAATTATGAACAGTATATTCGCAAAATAACATTAAAAAGTACATCTTCATTAAGGAAATTGACAAATTTCGCCAACTTTGAAGCATCATTTCTTACAAGGTAAACACCCTTGCTTGTTAAACAAATAGAGGATCCATGCATCTATTGTACCATAGTATTTTCTTCGCCAGTTCACACTGAAGAAAAGTGGTGCAATGACACTCCAAAAACCAATCGAATATGATATAAACACAAATGAATATAAAACCAATGGTTCATGAAGAACTCCTTTTTCTTCCTTCTCATTCAAATCATGTCTTCTTCCATCATCTTTGTGGAAATTATTTGGGCATTCTTTTTGGATTTGTTCCCCACAGAGTCTTGGGTTGCCCATAAAGCTACTTTCGCTAAATGTTGAGAGCTGTTGATCAAATGGGATCCTGCTTGAGAGGTCATTAAAGGCAACACTAAAAGTTCCAAGTTACTTGATTTGGACAATCTAAGGGGGTATAGGTCCTGTTAGTCTGTTGTGGGAGAGGTCTAAACTCTCCAAATTTGAGAGGTTTTGGAAGGATGTTAGAATATGACAGATGAAAAGATTGTGAGAAAAGTTCAAAGAATGGAGTTCAGATAATTCACCAATTTCAATAGAAATCTCACTACTTAACTGGTTATCTGAGAAATCAATACCAGTCATAAGAGTGAGAGGAATACCTTGGACAGAATACGAATTGCCCTTGGTGGTGAAATCAATTAGAACCCAAGAGTCTACTTGAAACTTCTTTCTCCAGACTAAATAGTTTCCAAGGCAAGACGGAACGTTCCCAGAGAAGCTGTTTTTGGAAAAATCTAAGAACTGCAATTTTTGCATTGTGCAAAGTTGCCTGGGAATGTACCCTCCAAAATCATTTCCTCCCAAAAGAAATGCTCCTAGTTGCTTGAAAACAAGTAGTTGGCCTGAAATAGTTCCAGACAGCAAGTTTTTTTCTTATATCTAGTAGCATCAAAGACAGACCGCTCAATAAACACAGTGGCAAATTCCCATTGAAGTGATTGTTGTGCAGTAATAACGATCTCAGTTGTGTCATATTACAATCTTTTTGGAAGCATCTCCCCGATCAAGCTATTATTTGATAGATTCAAGTACCTTAGAGGGGAGTTTGGGGTTAGGCCGCTTGGAATAGCTCCAAAGAGGAGATTGTTTGATAAGTCCAAGTGTTCCTGATTTTTCAATTCACCTAAGGAGGAGGGAATGCTACCAAAGAACATATTGGAGGATGCATTGAACCTATAAAGCTTGGGAAGAGACAAATTGATGTCTTAGGGCAGTCTCCCAACAAAATGATTATTTGACATATCTAGTTCAACAAGTGTGGATACAATATTTTGCAAGTCTTGAGGAAATTGACTCAAAAAACAATTGCTTCGTAACCTCAATACAGAAGAAACATTATGAAGCATTTGTAGTTGCAGAGAACTAGGGGATGCTCCAGAACTCGGATCTTCACTTTGGTTATCCTGTAATGCCTTGAAGTTGGTCCTTGGGGTAGACACTTCGATGCCTAAGTTAGCAATAATCAGAGCTACCAACTATGAAGCAAGAGCTAAGTTTGAGGTCAATTTCAAGTACCTTTTTAAGGTGGATCCTGAGGGGTATTTATAGGCCTTCAAGGAGGTGTCCACGTGTTGATCTTTGCAAGAAACCAGGGTAATGCTTGTCAACCATCACAAATATCTCTCATAAGGAATCTGTGTGCTTACGGAGCTACTGTGGAGCGGGAGCAGAGGGAATGAGGTCAAATTCGATTGAGCTCGTTGCTCTTTAAACGTTACCAAGGTGACAAGCTTGAGGTACATAACCTCAAATCTTAAATATTGTCGAGGTGACAAGTTCGAGGTACGTAATCTCTGAGCTCATCACTCTTTAAGCATAGTCAAGGTGACGAGATCAACGTACATGACCTCAAACCTTTACCACTACACCATTCACCCCCTCGCCCCCCAAGTCATTCACTTGTGAATGATGTGGGAATCTATGGTAAGGGTGGAAGTGATTGTTCAAGTGGAAATGAAGGTACAAGGTGAGCATGGGGAAAGGCTAAGTTTGGAGTGGAAATAGAATGGCACATGGTCTTGGTGTATGGCTGGAGCCAAAATGGAAATGACATGAAATGTGGTCATGGGGTACGGCTGGGGCGAAGTGGAAATGAAATGACAAGTGTCATGGTGTACGGCCGGAGCTAGAGTGAAAATAGCATGACACGTGGTCATGGGTACAGCCATAACCGTAATGGGTAGCATGACACATGGTTATGGGTGCGGTCAGAGCTGGAGTGAAAGTAGCATGACACGTGATCATGGGTTTGGCTGAAGCCGGAGTGAAAATAGCATGACACGTGATCATGGGTGCGGCAGGAGCCAGAGTGAAAGTGGCATGAGTGAATGTTAATTTTCAAAAAATAATTAACGTGTAATCCATTCGAAGGAGTTTGAAATGGAAATGAAAATAAAATAGAATAACATGAAATAATTTGATCTGTGGTGATAGATGTCCTTGCGTATCATGCTGTAATAAATGTTATCAAGAATAACTGTCGAATTCGAAAGGACGTGATCGTGACCGCTAAATGCGAGCGATTGTGACCGTTAAAACGAGAGGGAGGTTGAGTATAAATAACTGGCCTTGAGTTATCCATAATTTTACCTTATTGAATTTATAGCGAAGCCCTACTGAATCGTGGCAGAGCACCTCATCCTCCGAGCTGACTGTTGCAAAGATCGAAGTTGAAGTTGGGACATAATAGCTGCCGGAACATTTGCACAAGTGTTTCACTTTGGCCATCAGGAAACCAAGTAACTCTGAGCTCTACCTTTAACTTAAATGATTTGATTTATTTTAGAAAAAAGTCTAGTTAGGGAAGTTAGATGTTCAATAGAAAGGGAGGTAGTAGAGGATAGAAATTGCAGGTGATTCTGATTACTATTCATCACATACTCCTTGTAGTGAAAATTGTGATACCCAAGATGTCTTTTGAAGAAACGTTCAGTGTTGGAGGGGAAGAGGAGGTAAAGAGCTTGAGTTTGAGTTCAAGTTCGAGCTCTAGTGGGGGAAGTGGGAGTGGGATCTTTGTTAGTGGGAGCAATGGGGGTTAGGAGGATAGTGCTATTCCAACTCATATCTTAGAAGTTGATGACAGCCGGGAAAGGTGCTATGACAAACGGGAAGAGGTGGTGGGGGAGGAGAGATGGAAAAGTGGAGGAGTTCAGTAGGTGGAAGGGGAAGAAAAAGAACCCTAATCAGCACTGGTTGGGGGAGGTGGAGAAGGACGAGGTGGAGAGGTTAGAGAGGGTTAGGGGGAGCTAGCAAACATAATGTACCTCACCAGTCCAGAGGTGGTGGATTTGTTTGGAATCTATGGGAGAAGCTCGTTGAGCGGAGGTCTGTGTTAACTAAAATGAGATTCCATTTCAAAATAAGAGTTTGATTGTAACTTTTAACTTTATTTTGTTTTGCAGAGGAAATGACTCATTTGAGAGCTGGAGGTAAAGCTATAAGACTTCTGGAGAAGAGGTCAAAGACATCAGCTCTGGCTGCCGTAGAGGAACGAGTTAGAGGTGGAACTTCAAGACCTCACCACAACGGTGGAGCTCGAGTTAAAGTGAGGCCCAGCTTAAAGCCAAGGAAGGGATTTACAGAGGAAGAGGCTATAGCCTGAAAGAGGCAAAGGGTGGAGGAGGTGCAGCCATTACAAATCAAGGCCTTAATTGAGTTCCTGCCTCGGCCTCCCCCCATGCAGATTGAACTATCGTTGTGGGAGATAGAAGTTGTGGTGCCTGGGAAGGGGAAAAGCTCTGTTCCCTACCTCAGGCAAGTCTCCAGCTTCTACGAGTCTAGGAGGACAGCTACAAAACGTTTCATCAGCTTCCACTTCCTCGAGGTGGATTTGCAGAGGGCTAGGGATGAGGTGGCTACCAATGGGGGATTAGCGGTAGTTCGGCAAGCCCTGAAGGTAAGTTCTGCCCTTCCTTGACTTCAACTTCCTCTTTATTTTTTCTTTTTTTCTTTTTTTTTTGACTTCTACTTTTTTGTAGACTGCAAACTTAGCAAGTGCAATGGCAGTTGAGTTCTTCGATTGCCTACAAGAGAGAATTGCCTTGGTTGGGAAGAACGAAGAGCTTAGCCATCAAAAAGAGGCGGCTGAGAAGAACTTCAATGAACTGACCTTAGAGCTGGAGAAGGTCAGAGAGGAGTTGTTCCAAGAGGGTTGCCAAACTGGAAGAGCAGAAGAGGAAGAAGTGCGAGAGGCACTTGCGAAGAGGGATAACGAGCTGGCCGAGGTTAAGAAGACAGCCAAGCTGGCGATCCATAACTCGAGAGAGTAGCACGTTTCGGACTTCATCAAGTCTCCTACAGTTTCCGAGGTGGTGGACCTTTACCGTTTGCCAACTTTGGTGATGGCCTTCATCGACTGTCGTAAGAAGGTGAAAACCCAAAATCTGGAGGTGGACGTGACCAACATCACGTTTGGCCCCGAGGAGACAGGGGTAGAGGAGAATGGAGATAGCAAGACGGCAGAGTTTCGTCCTGCGGTAAAATTAGCTTGGGAACGGGATGAGGCCGGGAAAACTATCCTCCCTCCTACCTTGGAGTTCGAGTTCATCCCATCGACGAGAAGGAGGCCGAGGTTCCACCAAAAACCAAGGTGGCAGATAAGGTGCGAGACGAGGAAGTGGACCAACAACATCAGATCATTGACTAAGCTCGACCAGTTCGCTCCTTGCTTCCTTCTTCTTCTTCTTCTTTTTTTTTTTTTTTTTATGAACACTTTATATTTCATTTTCGAATCAATGAATTAGAAGTTTAAAAATTAGTGTTGTTTTTTATTTTAGCATTAACATGACTTTTGACCTCGAAATTGTAGCGAACTAGCAATTAATATAACCAACCAAAAGTATAACTTTTTAACCTTTTTAAAATGAGAGATCAGAAGTTTAACTTTGTATTGAACTCAAGGTAGACGTGAGTTTGTGATTTCAAGTTCAGAACTTAAGAGTTTGAATAGGACAAAGCTTCATTAAGGATAAAACTTCCTCAAGTTATTTACACTCCAAACCCTAGGAATTCTTTTACCCCTAGCGTCTACAAGTATATAAGCACTAGGGTGAGGTATTTCGGCTATTACATATGGGCCTTCCTAGTTTTGCACCAAGTTGTTGAAACGTGTTTTGAAGTCGATGAGTCTTACCTTTCTAAGGACGAGGTCACTAATTCTAAAAGTTCAAGGTCAAACTCGTCTATTGTATGAGTTAGCAAATTTCTGCTTATATGCTAATGTCCGAAGTCGAGCTTGCTAGTGGACTTTGTTTAAGAAATCGAGGTTTTCTCTGAGTAATTGGTCATTTCGTGTTGCGTCGAAATGGCTCACTGTCACGCCCCAAAACCCGAATTCGAGGCGCGACAGACGCCGTGCACTCGTGAGAGGGTCCCACAAATGCACAAGGCTCGGAACTTATCCACTTCACATCTGACGATCCAATCACTTAAATCAGATATTTCAATAATTCTATGTCCAACATGACTTAAACTTAAAATCTCAAGGTAAAATCTATCTTACAAAACATGATTTATTTTTAAAATCTATATCAATCCCGAAATGGCTAGCCTTCTAACTCGTCACTTCCCGTGATTTCCCCGTCCCCGATTTCACTTCCTGAAATGGTGGACAAGGAAAACTATGAGATAACTCAGTAAATATGGATAGCCCCTGGGTAAAAATGTAAGCATGCCAGATAAACCATGTAAGTATAACAGAATTTTCACTGATAAACCGTAAATGCAGAAATCAAATTCGGTTCAATAGCAAAACGTTCAATGACAAAACTGTCAATGCAAAATCAGATTCAGCTCACTTGCAAAGCATTCAATGACAAATCGTCAATTAAACTCATAGCATGCCAACAAGTGTAATCATGAAAACAGATACAGTACGGGCACGAAATAGACGTCTCCTCTATAGGTCATGGCCAGTGTTATAAACCTCCCACTGGCAGGCTACAGAATTTGCTGGTGTATAATCCCCACTAGCAGGGTCACTCAAACGAACTGGTTCTATCAATAACATGTCGACATGTGCTAGCGTTTATAAACCTCCCACTAGCGGGCACACGAATAACATGACCATATCGGAGACAAAACAGGCAGAAGTTCACAGGAAAATCACAATTCACAATCACTTTCAGATCATCACTTTCAGATCATCAGGATAGTCACTTAAATTCCAAGTAGGCATGCTCAATTTAATGAAAACATAAAAATTTCGCTTCAAATCAGTCATGCTTGTATAAAACGGGTTTAGTCCTGCCACCACTTCAAAAAAAACAAATCAAAATATGCTTTTAAAAACAGTACGGGCATTACCATAAATTTACTTACCTCACTCGCATAAAACCGAAGACTCGATCTCAGTGCTAAACTGACAAACGATCAGGAACCTAATCAAAATATTCAAGAATTAATAACCATTTCCCTTTTCCTTTTCCCATCACGTTCTCACAACCAAACAAAACCCCAATCAATAATACATCACTACTGGACCAAGATTAATCCAATGCCATAACTAACATATTCCATGAGATTTTCTACTCAAATCAATTAAAATTCAATGGGTGAACAGTGCGCGCAGTGAACAGTGCGCGCAGTGAACAGTAACTGCAACTTCCAGAATTTGGCAAGGAGCAGAAATTTGCGGTAAATGGCAAGAAATTTGGGGGAAAACAATGCAGAACAATAGCAAGGAAAAATGCTGCAAAATGCAGAATTTTTCTGGAGAAAATACAGAGTTTTCTGGTCAAAAAACAGTGCAGGAAAATGCAGAATGTTTCTGCGTGAACAGTGAAAACAGCAGCAACTTGCAGAAAAATGCAGCAGCAAGTGCAGAAAATGCAGCAGCAAGTTTGCAGAAAAATGCTGCAGAAAAATGCAGCAGAAAATGCAGAAAACGCAGCAGCAAATTGCAAATTTTCCTGCATGAACAGTAACTGCGCGTGAACAGTAAAATTTTGGCAAAACAGCAGGATTTTTTTCCCACACAGAACAGCAGCTAATTTCAAGCCAAAAACAGGTTATTTCTACATGAATTAAGCTAAAAAAACATGTTTAAAATGCTGCCAAATTCTTCCATATTTCTGCAGAAATTCAGACACACATGGCAGCAACAAATTGATAGAATTCAACAACACAAGGCAGCAACTAGTTAACCATTTTTGGACTTAAAGATGCCATCAACATACCAGAATTTTTCCAGCAACCAAAACCGGAGCTGGCGGGTATGGAGGCCGACGGAGACCGGAGAAGAAATCATGAAAACTACCACAAAATTGCAAGAAACAAAAGGGATTATAGAGTGACCCAAGCCAAATTAAAGCTAAAGAGATGAACTTGAAGCTGGTTCTTACCAAAAATCCCGAAGGATTCACACCCGGCAGAACAGCGGACAGACAAAGGGGAAGAACAAGGCAGATCTGAAATTTCTGGGTTTAAAGAGAGTTCTAAGCCCCAAATCTTGTTATTTAACAAGAAAAGAAGAATAAATTTCAAGCTTTGTCACCAATTTTCTCAAAGGGGATGAGTCGGTGGCTTAGGAGAGCTTCGGTCGACAGAGGAGAAGAAAATGAAGATGAATAAGAGCAAAACACGTGGCTGAGGATAAAAATATCAGCCTTGATCCTTATCCTAATTTCTTTTCTTTTTAGTCCTTGAACTTTGAAAATTTTTACCATTATGTTCATTAATAGTATTTCTTCACAATTAGGTCCCTTACTCACTTTAATGCTCTAAAAATTTTGGGATATTACACTCACTCTTAGGCTTGGGACGCCCATTTCGACAGGAATGACTACCTTGGTCCCAAAAACCGAGTGGTAAGGCGTTTCGCCTAATTGGGAGAAATTGTAATTTTAGGGTTTGTTTCATATAACTAGCAATAGCCTCAGATCAAAAGAGAATAAGAAGTTGGTTAAGTTGCGTACCTATGGCTGTTCGGCTCATAGTTTGGTAAGCCTAGAGAACATTGTTGAGCTTGTCTACCCATTTCGCTTTGACCTGATCTAGCCTTGGTTTAATCCACTTTAAGATTGCTTTATTGATAGACTCAACCATTTTGTTTGCCTTAGGGTGATAGACAGAAGTGAAGACTAACTTTATCCTATAGTTAGAACAGAAGTCTTTAAAAGAGGTACAGTTGAACTGAAGTTCGTTGTCAGCAACAACTTGATTTGGAATTTCGTATCTAAATATAATCGAGCTAAAAACAAAGTCTTCAATCTTTCTTGAGGTTAAACTAGAAAGAGGTCGAGCTTCCACCCACTTTATGAAGCAATCAATTGTTATGACTAGGTGTGTTACTCCCCTTGTACCCTTAATAAAAGGACCTAGAAGGTCGATCCCCCATTGGGCGAAAGGCCACGGTGCAACCAAAGTAGTGAGTTCTTCCGTTGGTTGGTGAGTGAGATGTGCAAAGAATTGGCACTTCTGGCATTTCTGGACATACTTCTTGGCATCTTCTTGCATAATAGGCCAGTAGTATCCCTGTCGAAGTACCTTGTGGGCCATGGTCCGAGCTCCGATGTGATTCCCACATACACCTTCATGCACCTTGCGAAGAGTGTACTCGATCTCGTAAGGGGTTAAACAGTGAAGAAGATGAAGTGAGTATGACTTCTTATACAAGACGCCATCCACCAAGGTGCACTGAGATGCCTTCTTCCGCAACTGCATCTCTTCTGGTTTGTCGTTGGGGACAGTCCCATCCCGAAGATAAGCTTTAATGGGATCAGTCCAACTGGGGGTTTCGGGATCAATACTGACCTCCATCACCTTTGACCTCTAGAAGCTTGGTTCATCTAGGATTTCGACATAGACTGACCTCATTCCGCCTAAGTTGTTAGAGGCTAATTTTTACAGTGAATCAACATGCTCATTTTCTGACCTCGAGACTTTTGTGGGCCGAAATCTCTCAAATTGGCATTTGAGCTTGGAAACCATAGTTAGGTATTTGGCTAGGGTAGGGTCTGTGACCTCACATGTAGAATTCACTTGGTTGACTACAAGTTGTGTGTAAACCTATAGGGATCTGACTCTCAGCTCTGCTGCCAAGCGAAGTCTGAGGAGAAATGTCTTATACTCGACCATGTTATTTGTTGCTTTAAAATTGAATTTCAGGGCATGCTCACTTCGAAAGTTCCTTGGCCCCATCAACACTGCTCCGGCACCCAACCCTTTACTGCTTAATGACCCACCAAAATAGAGGGTCCATAGCTCAGCCTTAGAATCGACACTCTCGTGACCTAATGTGCATTCTACAATAAAGTCTGCCAAGGCTTGAGCCTGAATTGACGACCTTTACTGGAATGTGATCTAAAATTCCCCTAACTCCACTTGCCACTTGATAAGTCTGCCGGAGCACTCTAGCTTCTGCAAAATCTGTCTCAGAGGTTGATCGGTTAGTATAACAATGGGGTGGGCTTGGAAGTATGGCCTCAGCTTCCTTGCCGTGGTGGCAACTGCCAAAGCTGCCTTTTCTGCAATGGAGTACCTTAGCTCGGCTCCTTGTAGCACCTTGCTGGTATAGTACACTGGCCTTTGTTGTTTCCTTACTTCTCTAACTAAGACCGAGCTTATTGCTGCATCAGATATCCCGAGGTAGAGGTAAAGGATCTCACCTTCTTCGCCCTTAGTTAATAGAGGTGGTGAATTGAGGTACAACTTGAGTTAATCGAAGGCAGTTTGACACTGTGAGGTCCATTCAAACTTCTTAGGCTTCCTCGCTTCGTCTTTCTGGGCCATGGATCTCAATACTTTGAAGAAAGGCAGACATTTATTTGCTGACCTCAATATGAACCTATGCAGAGCTCTTACTCTCCCAGTTAAGCGTTGCACATCTTTAACTGACTTCAGTGGCTTCATCTCTTCTATTGCCTTAATCTTCTCAGGATTGACCTTTATCCCTTCCTGGAGACCATGAATCCTAACAATTTGCCAGATTCGACACCAAAGACACACTTGGCTGGATTCAACCTCATGTGGTGTTTTCTTAGGTTGTCAAATGTTTTTGCCAGGTCGATTAGGTGATCCTCTGCCTTAAGGCTCTTAACTATTATTGCATCAATGTAGACTTCTAGGTTCCTGTCGATCTGAGCTCGGAATACAATTGTCACCATTTTCTGGTATGTCGCCCCCACGTTCTTGAGCCTAAATGGCATCATTACATAGTAGTAGATCTCGTCACCTGCATAAAAAGAGGTCTTCACCTCGTCCTCAGGTGCCATGTGGACTTGATGATATCTCGAGTAAGCATCTAAAAGACTAAGCCTTTCATTTTCGAATGCAGCTTCCACCAGCTCTTCTATACTTGGCAAAGGATGGCAGTCCTTCGAGCAAGCCTCATTTAGATTTGTGTAATCAATGCACATTCTCCATTTGCCATTCGACTTCTTGATTAAAACAGGATTAGCAACCCATTCAAATAGTCTACCTTTCTTACAAACCCTGCTTGCAAGAGTTTTTGCACTTTTGCTCTGATTGCTTCTAGTCTCTCTCCTCCAAATAGGCGTCTTTTTTGTGTTACGAGCTTCTTCAAAGGATGAGTGCTTAGTTTATGTACTACGACTGAGGTGGGTATCCCGGGCATATCAACCGAGATCCATGCAAATGCATCTTTGTTTAACTTCAGAAAGCTAATGAGCTTTTCTCTTTCTTTAGAGTTCAGCTTGGTCCCAATCTACGTCTTCTTAGTGGGGTCATTGTTGTCAAACTGTACCTCTTCCACCTCTTCTGCCTAGGTGGCTTTGGCCTTATCCTCAGGTCTATTATTCGACAATTCTACACCCATTACCTACTGTGTGGCTGGGACTTCAAGTTGAGTTGACTCTGGAAGGGTTACTTGCTTATTCTTCCGAGGTCGGGCAAGCGAAGTCATGTAGCAATGCTTGGCCACCTCTTGGTTGCCTTTTAGAGTTGCTACTCCCATGAAGGTGGAGAATTTCATGCAGAGGTGAGACTATGAAACGACAGCTTGAATCTCAGTCATAGTTGGTCTTTTGATGACGATGTTAAGAGATGACGCCATCTTCACTACCAAAAACTGAACTGAGGGAGTAACATATGTCCGACCTAAGCCAAATGCTACATTGAGTTTTAAGACTCCTTCCACAACGACTGGCTGATTATTGAATGATTGAATCCATAGATGGGGCCATCATACATCTGTAGGAGGGTGGGGTCAAGGCCAAGGCTCTCAAAGCAATGATAGTACATGATATCTGGAGTTCTTCTTGTGTCGACAAGGACGTGTTGAACTTCGCAATTATTAACAATTACCGAGGTGACTAGCGGATCATTGTTCAGCGTGACAACACCATCAAAATCAGCTGAACTAAAGGTTATAGGTTGGTTCTTCCAGTCTGCCTCATCAAATTTCCTCTTCTAAGCTCAATTCTGGTGTTTCACCTCCCTCACATGTTGCTTCTGTTGTTTTGAGCTCGTTCCTCCAACTTTTAGCCCATTAGTTATCATGTGGATGATGCGTGAAGGTGGAGGAAGAGGAGGTGGTGCTTGCTAATAGCCGACCCCATTTTTATTGCTTGCATCTCGAGATCCTTGAGGTCGTCCCTGCTCTCGAACGAACTTGAGCTGGTCCTTATTTGAGATGTAATCATTCAACATCCCTTTGCGAGCTAAACCCTCGAGTTCGAACTTGAAACTATTATATTCCTTCGTGGTGTGTCCATGATCTTGGTGGAAGTCACAATATCTGTTGTGATCTCTAAAGGCAGGTGAACTCCGCATAGGTGAGGGCTCTCTAAGCTCCATTTTGTTCTTGATCTGCATCAAAATCTATGACCTCTGCAGTGTAAATGGAGTCCAAGTGATCTGCTTTGTCATAGGTTGTGGGGTATTCAAGGTGGGCTTGTCAACTTTAGTAGGGAATGGACCTCGGTTTTGCGCAGTTTTGAACCTCTTTTTATTTTGTCCCTCATCTCTCCAAGTCGAAGGTCTGACCTCTTTACTTGGTGCGGGCTTGTCGGACAAGGCGTATTCCTCGGCCTGTATAAACTTCCAAGATCTTTCATTGGCTTCATCGAACGTGACAGGAGGATGCTTTATCAGGTTGTCTCTAAATCTTTCATGCTGGAGACCTTGAATTATGGCAGCTAATCCAACGGCTTGATTAAATGAGCCAATTTCCAATACAGCATCGTTGAATCTATTTTGGTAGTTCTTCAGAGATTCACCTTCCCTCTGGACTACTCACATGAGCTCAGAGGTTGTCTTTCTGATCAGTCGTCGACTTGAGAATTTAGTTGCAAAAGATGTTGCCAGCTTGGCATATGAACTGATCAAGTTCGGCTGCAAACTATAGTACCAAGTCCGAGCATTTCCACGTAATGTAGAGAGGAATATTTTAAACATCAGGGCATCTGAGGCATTCTGAGCTTACATAACAGAGTAGAATGTGTGCAAGTGGTCATTAGTGTCCTTAGTGCCATCATAGGTCTCGAACTGAGGCATTTTAAATGCAACTGGGTATGGTTCTTGGATGATGTTAGTATTGAAGGGAGTAGAGATGAGGGTAGAGTTGGGTTGAGTTGGAGGTTCGACATTTCGGTTTTCGGCCATCATTTTTTCCAAGTTGTCTAACCTCTTGGAAACATCTGAGATAACTGGCTAAGGTGGGTTTGGAGGTGAAGGTGCCATGTAGGAATGCCCTTGGGCCTCGCTCTGAGGCGGGACGGCAGTTCGGGCTAGTGAATTAACATTTTGTTGAGGCTGGTGATTGGGTGCATGGTTAGTTGGGTTTAACAGGGTGATGAACGGATCACCTGGGTTGTTTCTGGCTAATAACTGTGCGAGCACAAGTTGAAACACATCGAACTGTTGTTGCATAGTGTTGAGCTAGGCAGCTATGGCGTCATTTGGGACCTCCGTTGGGTGTTGCGGGTTATTCTCTTCAGTCCCTTCCACCTGCTGATGTAGGGCTATCGGAGGTGGCACAGTGTGAAACGTGGGGTCACCACTTGGGAATTGACCTCTTCCTCGGTTTTGTTGAGGGCTTTTGTGTTGTGTTGAACATGTGTTGACCATCGTAGCAACTACTAACTAGGCTCTTTGTTTTGACTTCCCACGGACAACGCCAATGTAGTTGCAGAGAACTAGAGGATGCTCCAGAACTCGGATCTTCACTTCAGTTATCTTGTAAGGCCACGAAGTTGGTTCTCGGGGTAGACACTTCGATGCATAAGTTAGCAATAATTAGAGCTACCAGTTATGAAGCAAGAGTTAAGTTTGAGGTCAATTTTAAGTATCTTTTTGAGGTGGACTCTAAGGGGTATTTATAGGCCTTTAAGGAGGTGTCCACGTGTTGATCTTTGCAAAAAACCAGGGTAATGCGTGTCAACCATCGCAGGTATCTCTCATAAGGAATCTGTGTGCATACAGAACTACTGTAGAGCGGGAGCAGAGGGGACGAGCTCGAATTTGACCAAGCCCGTCGCTCTTTAAGCGTCGCCAGGGTGACAAGCTTGAGGTACATAACCTCAGACCTTAAATATTGTCGAGGTGACAAGTTCGAGGTACGTAATCTCTGAGCTCGTCGCTCTTTAAGCATAGTCGAGGTGACAAGCTCGACGTACATGACCTCAGACCTCTACCACTACAGCATCCAAGAGGGAAAGTTTCCTATAAGTAAGTTACTAGACAAATCTACAGTCTGTAGGTTATTTTGGTTAAGAAGGAAACTGGGAATGTTCCAACCAGTTTGGTTATTGAGGTTGCATCCTGCGAAAACGAGATGTTGTATTTGAAAGGAAGAGTGCCAACTTGGGGTTTCAGATTCCACTTCTAAATAGTGATTGTAAGAAAGATCTAGGTAAGAAAGCGTCGAAAGGTTTGCGAAAACAAAAAGTGGCACAATACCTTGAAAAAGGTTGTGAGAAACATCGATGTATTCTGCTTTTGAAAGATTAGCAAAGATGGAGGCAAGGTTCCCTTGAAATTGGTTCTTTGACAAATCTAATGTTCTCAATGATGGCAAGTTCCCCCAACATGGTCCCATAAAATCTTCTTCAATTGAGTTGGATGAAAGATCCAAACGTTGCAAGTAATCAAGTTTGCATAATGCTGAATCATGAGTCCAGAATTATGTTGTAAGTAATAGCTACACATAGGGACAATTAAAATTAAAGAGCACAAAGAATAAATAAATAAGAACCTCACCTTCAGGGCTAATCAATCCACCAATGCTATTGCCTTTAAGATGTAACTCTTTCAATTCTTTGAGTTGGGCAAACAAACTCAACTCTGGAAACCATCATTCTTTATCTTCCCTAATATCTTCAAAGAAAATGTTGACAACATGAGGGCTTGTGAGGCTACATTCAACTCCTTCCCACTTGCAACAATCATCAGAGTATTTGCTTTGGTAAGGATATTCATCTCTAAAACCCATAGATTCTATTATTTGCTCAAGAGCTCTCCTCTCGTCATCTAAGCAACCTCTGTACCATCCATTGTTGTGAAAGACTATCAGCACTACAAACAAAAACAACTCAATAACATTATTAGAGAAAATTGTCATAGTGGCAAATTATGCAGTTTTAACTCTCTCTCTCTCCTTACACTAGTAAATTACCCCCTGTTCCTAAGCAAGATAAACTAAACAAAAGCACCAATGTACAACAGTGTTTCATTCTTTTTTTCTTTTATAATCAGCACAAACAGTGTTTCATTCTAGTATTCAAGCAGAGGAAATGAAGAGTGGTAGAAAAGCCTAAGATTTGCACTAGAGAGAGAGAATTCATGTAATTTGGTGGAGATGTCATTTCTTATGTTATCCCTGTATTGCATAGAAATTGGATCTAAACTTATGTATTTGGACATGTCAATAAGAAAGTTTCCTTGTTACCACTAGAAGACCAAAGAAGACTAGGGAAGTTGCATGAAAGCTCACAAAGTTCCTTTTTTTTATCAAAAGGGACCAGTAGCATGCAAGCAAAGACTTTGACTTTGAATGTAAATGATTGGTGTAATCCAACTACCAAATTCTTTTCGCTAACCAATTGATTTTCTACTTTGAAAATGTATATCTCTATTTGTTTCTTTTCCCTATCCATACTGGACAACCAGAGAAAGACAAATGAAGGTTCATCGCAGCAAGTAGACATGGTCAAATTATTGATTTAATTACCATAGAAATTTCACTTGACATGACTGGCAGAAAGAGAAACTTTGATATATGCAAACTAGATGAGAAATGACACCTAATTAGGAAGCTCAACAATTTTCATGAACAAAGAAACTTTTCTCATGGAGATTACAATTACTTACAATTTCTTCTTGTTCTTTCTCTTGCTTATATGCCTAAACTGCCATGGTTGCATGGATGAAGAAAGGGATGCTCTCGTGCAAATCAGAAGTTCAATAAATAGTCCACAGGGAACTGCTTTTTGAAGTTGGTATGGGGAAGATTGTTGCCAGTGGGAGGGTGTTGAGTGCAATCCATCGACAACTCGTGTCATTAGGATCAGCTTTCACCATAGGAGGGATCAAAGCTTGCCTGAATTATGGTACCCAAATGCTACCTTATTTGCTCAGTTTAAGGACCTGCGAGAACTTGAACTACCTGGAAATCAAATTGGGGGACTCATTTCACCTAACGGTAAACACTGTGAACTATATGTTCTTTGTTTCTTCTTGCTACTAACATTGTTAAAAGTGGGGAAAAAAGAGTAGAATAACAAAGAGGAAAAATTGAGACAAATTTTTTTAAATATTTTATTTTAATGTTGAAACAAAATTGAACAAAGTTAAGTCAGATAAAGATATATGTTGCTCAAGATTTAGGATGATTGTAACCTTTTTAATAGACAAGATTTAAGGTGTAAAGTATTAAAATTTTCTCTCTGTATTTATCAATACCATCTATCCTGTTCAAATTTCACAATAACCCACTAAACAATATTCTGATTTTATGGATGAAACATGCAGAGCTTGGACGACTAAAGCAGCTTCAGAAGATTGATGTCCATAACAACTCCATACAAGTTGGTTCACATCTCTGTTGGGGGAAAATTCCTTCACTTCGTGTCCTAGATTTGTCAACAAACAAGTTAGAAGGTGACATTCCAAAATGCCTGTGTGAGAATCTTCGTCTCAAAGATCTATTTCTGTTCGATAACTTTCTCATTGGAAACATCGACGCATGCTTGAGAAATATGACTTTACTTGAATACGTAGATCTCTCTGATAATAGTTTCAATGGCTCCTTTCCTTCGTTATCAATTAGCAACCTAACAAATATTCAGTCAGTTATTCTCTCAGGAAATGAGTTCAAGGGCAGGATTTCACTTTCGCACTTCGCAAATTTATCGAGGCTAAGTTACCTTGACATCTCATGGAATTCGTTCGAAGTTGAAACTGAGTCCATAACTTGGGTTCCATATTTCAATCTGTCTGTGCTAAATTTAGCCGCTTGTAACCTCAGGACCATCCCCAGCTTCATTTCCTCACAGAGGCACTTGGAATCACTAGATTTATCATGCAATTCACTCATAGGGAAGATTCCTTCATGAATGCTTGACAATGTCTCTAAAAAATTACAGCTAAGAAGAAATGGTTTCATAGGACCATTTCCTAAGTCCTTTCAGAACAGTTCACAGCTTACTGAACTTGACATCTCTGATAATCTTTTATCAGGGTCATTTCCTGAAGATATTGGTGTCTATTTTCCAGAATTGCACAATCTAAATGCTTCCTTGAATAATTTTAGTGGCAAGCTTCCTCCATCCTTTGTTAGAATGAAACAGCTTTTGTTTCTGGAACTATCAGGCAATCAATTCCATGGAGAAATCCCTTATGGCATGACAAGCAATATGAGCTCTCTTGAATATTTGGGATTATCTCAG